TTGAATTTGAAGTTAAAGATCTTGGAAAACTGAGATTTTTTTTAAATAGAGATAACCCTTTCAAAGCAGGGGATCTTTATTTGTCCAGAAGTATGTCCTTTATCTCGTTAAAGAAACAAGAAAACTTGGGGGTGAACCTTGTACTCAAATACGGAAGATCACAAACTAGAAAGCGAAGAGGAGAGCCTAAGGGAATAACACTTGGATGCAATGGATAAGATTCTCCAATACCTTAACGCCACACCAGATAGATGATTATTATTCCGGAGAGGGGGGAAACCTATACTTAAAAGTTTATACTGGCACCGATTATGTTGTGTTCGTGACTAATCAACGATTTGCCTTGGGCTGTTGTATGTTTCTTTGTGGAGAACTAGTAAGATGGAGGAGTAAAAACTAAAATGTTGGTGCTAGGTCGAGTCTAGAGGTATAATTTTGAGCTATGACCCAAGGTATTTGTGAATTGTTATGGTTGAACTCAAAGTGTGATGTGAAGGACCGACCTATTAAATTGCGTTATGATAATAAGTTTGCCATCTGTATAGCATACAATTCTGATGAACACAAACAAATAGAACATATTGAGATTGACTGCACTTCATCAAAGAGAAACTAGCTAGAGGACTGCTCAATGATCCATATATTCCTTTTAGTCGTCAATTAGTTAATATGACCAAGGCTCTTTCCATTGACTTTCAAGAAATTACTAGCAAGTTGAGAATGATAAATATCTTTCTTCAGCTTGAGGGAGAGTGTTGTTAATTGATAAAATTCTATAATTATTTATTTTCTTTATTAGCTAGATTAGTGTTTGCTTTTTTTGAGGATTTGGGTTTATTCCTTCTTCAGCCCATTAGGTCCATAAGTCTCTCTATACATATTGTACCCTTTTGTGCATATTCTCTTAAGAATCAATAATATTTTCAGTTCTCTCCTTTCAATTGATAACTATTTATACTATTTACAATATTAATTACAAGAGCAATCATTTCCTTGATAAGAGCTAATCAATACTAATTGCCTAAGAATTACTGACAGCTAGTACTACTAATAGATGTGCTTAAATATAATATTACACATTATACGTGTTCTCAAATCTAATATTTTATTCTAACAAAGAGTCAAGTCCAAGTGGTAAATGCTGATGAGAAATCAAGGGAGTGGTTCTTACCACTTTTAGTGAAACACCGGCTTGCAATTGCAAGGGTAGGGGGTGAGGGATTGATTCTCACAAATCCATAAATTCTTATCCAGATGGTTGTTTTGGTTAAAGAATCTAAATTGTTGATTTTTCAATGAACTGTTATTAATCGTGTGCTTTACCATTAAAAGTGTGCCATGTACTTCAGAGTATCCTATCTCTCTTATTATCAACATCAACAACACCTTTATCCCAAATTAATTGGGGTCGGTGGTAGATGAACCCACATGAAAGGTACAAAATGGTTGTAAAAAAAAAAAAAAAACAATAATGATATATATTTATATATATAAATAAATAAAAGTAAAAAGAAAGAGAAAAGAAGAAGATGGGGAAATGAAGGGGAAAAGGACTAAAAATGGACCATCTGGAACATAGGAATAACAACGGGTCTAACCCTCCACCATACTTATAGTTTTTCTCCATTCCGTTCTCAGACATACCGTCCGCCAATCTATATCCCACTCCATTAAATCTTGTTTTACTACCTTCTCCCGAGTAAGTTTCGGCCTACCTCTGCCTCTTTTTGTGTTGAGCTCTTAGTAACAAACTTCTGTTCTCACAGGAGCATCCAGGGGCCTTCTCATCACGTGCCCAAACCATCTCAATCTTTGTTCTCTCATCTTCTCGGCTATCAGTACTACTCCTACCTTTCGTCGAATATCTTCATTTCTTATCTTATCCATCCTTGTATAACCACACATCCACCTTAACATCCTCATCTCTGCTACTCCCATCTTATGCTCGTGTTGCCTATGTGCTGGCCAGCATTCCGCTCCATATAGCATTGCCGGTCTTACTGCTGTTTTATAGAATTTTCCTTTTAACTTAAGGGGGATTTTGCGATCACACAAAAATCCAGATGCACTGCGCCATTTCATCCACCCTGCTCTGATTCTATGATTTACATCCTCATCAATCTCTCCACCTTTTTGCAAAATGGAACCCAGGTATTTAAAAGCATCTTTTTTGGGTACCTCTTGACCATTTAGATGCACGGGATCTTGGTCCCCATCTCATACCAGAGAAAACTCACATTTCAGATACTCAGTCTTGCTTCGACTTAATGTGAATCCTTTGGAATCCAATGTGTTTCTCCACAATTCAAGTTTTCTATTAACACAATCCTTGCTCTCATCAATAAGCACAATATCGTCTGCAAAAAGCATACACCATGGTACTTCCTCTTGAATATTTTTTGTTAGTTCATCCATAACTAAGGCAAAGAGATAAGGACTTAGAGCCGACCCTTGGTGTACACCTACCGTGATAGGGAAATAACTTGATGTTCCGTTGCAAGCTTTCACACATGTAGTAGCCCCATCATACATATCCTTGATTGCCTTTACATACTTTGATGGAACCTTTTTCTTCTCCAGAACCCACTATAAAACTTTCCTTGGAACCCTATCGTATGCTTTCTCAAGGTCTATGAAAACCATATGTAAGTCCTTCTTCTTTCTCGATATCTTTCCATTAGTTGTCGCATCAAGAAAATTGCTTCCATGTTACATCTTCCTGGCATAAATTCAAATTGATTTACAGAAACCTTGGTATCTCTCCTCAAGCGGTGTTCAATAACCCTCTCCCACAACTTCATAGTATGGCTCATTAGCTTAATGCCTCTATAGTTTGAACAATTCTGTATATCTCCCTTGTTTTTGTAGATAAGCACAATCATACTTTTCCTCCATGCATCTAGCATCTTATTTGTCTGGAGAATCTTATTGAAAAGATTGGTCAACCATTTTATTTCCACATCCCCCAGGCCTCTCCACACTTCAATGGGGACACCATCAGGCCCCAAGGCTCTATTAGTCTTCATCCTCTTTAAAGCCTCCTTAACTTCATGTGCATTAATTCTGCGCACAAATCTTCTATTCATATCATCATAAGCGTCCTCCAAGTCCACCTCGCTTGTATCTCCATCCCTATTAAACAGCTTGTTGAAGTAGTACAACCATATTTCATTTACGTCTTCATCTCTCACCAAAAGTTTTTGATTTTCATCCTTGATGCATCTAACTGGCGTGAGGTCTTTACTTTTCTTATCCCTTATTTTTGCAAGTTTATAAATACCTCTTTCATCATCCTTGCTCCCAAGATTATTATACAACTCAGCGAAAACCTTGCCTCTAGCTTCTCGCACTTTTTTCTTTGCATTTTTTCTCGCCAATCTAAACTTTTGCAAGTTTTCTTCATTGGATAATTTATGCAAAGATCTAAAGCACTCTTTCTTATGTTTAATTGCCTCTTGCACCTCTCCATTCCACCACCATGTTTCCTTTGTATGAAATCCATTTCCTTTGCTTTCTCCCAACACCCTCCTTCCTATATTGTGAATACACTTAGCCATCTCATTCCATATTGCATTTACTCCTCCATCAAACTCCCAAGGTCCTTCGTGCAACATTCTTCCATTGAACTTTCTCTCTTTTCCCTCCTTAAGCTTCCACCACCTTATCCTTGGGTTTTGAGCCCTCTTCCACATTGTAAGTACTTTGTTGAACCGAACATCCAAGACTACCAGCTTATGTTGCGTAGCGATACACTCTCCAGGGTAGACCTTACAGTCGACACAAGAAGTTCTATCTTCTCTTCTAGCCAGAAAGAAATCAATCTGACTATGATTTTGGCCACTATGATAAGTGATTAGATGTGACTCCCTTTTTCGAAAAAAGGTGTTCACTAGCATCAAATCGTAGGCTAGTGCAACATTCAAGATATCTTCTCCAGTCTCGTTTCTCGTCCCATAGCCAAAACCTCCATGAATTCTATCAAAACCTCCATTGTTTTTACAAACATGACCATTTAGATCTCCTCCTAAGAAAATCTTCTCCTCTCGAGGTATTCCCCTCAAAACCTCCAAGTCTTCCCAAAATTGACTTTTATCAATTGGTTGCAATCCAACTTGGGGTGCATACACACTGAGGATATTCAGGATTAAATCACCCACAACAAGCTTATCCAGAATAATCCTGTCGCCTTTCCTTTTGACGTCCACAACTTTATCTCTGAAACTTTTATCGATCATAATTCCAACACTATTTCGACTCTTGTTAGTACCTGTGTACCATAACTTGAAACCAGTTCCATCCACTTCCTTGGCCTTTTCTCCAGCCCACTTAGTTTCTTGCAAACAAACAATATTCACTTTCCTTCTAGCAAAAACATCTTCCAACTCCCTCAATTTACCTGTTAAGGTTCCTATGTTCCAGCTTCCCAATCTCATCCTTAACCCCTGGGCTGTGCTTGCCCATCTGCGTGTTGGGACTCTGGCATACTTCTCACCAAATCCGGGTGAGGACCTGGCACCTTGCCTTGGGGCAAGGACCCTAGCCCACTTTTCACTATACCCCGGGCCCGATGCAGCGCCTTGCCTTGTGGCAAGGACCCTAGCCCATTTTTCGCTACATCCGGGGCCCGATGCAACGTGTCGCTATGAAGGGTACGCCCCAACTAAAAATCATATAGGTTCATCACATAAAAATATAGCTGTTTTTTACGGCCGGTTCGCAACACCTGACGCCAACCCTCCTCCTTTATCCTGGCTTGGGACAGGCCATGCATGCAAGCACACATGGGCGGAGTTCCTTTCTCTCTTATTATGTTCTTGAAAAATTTTAATTTTCTTTTTTTAGAGAAATATAATATAAAATCTTCAATAATAATAATAATCTCAACCCCTTACTTCCTGATCAATGTTAGGCTTTGGCCTTGCTATTGGAGTTGCTTTTTGTTGTACTTTCGTCTGCTTCCTTCTGTATTTGTGCTTTATGTTATATTTCCATCGGTGTAGGTTATATGTCATGTCTGCTCTGCTACTGACACATGGAAATCCAAATGCACCAGAGCTGCCCTTAGAAAACTCAATTTGGTACAAGATAGATCTATTCCAAAGGTATAAGTTTATTTCTTTCCTATTATGTAAGTTTTACTTGCAACAAATAGCTGTTATTTCCTTAATTGCCAATATTTGGTTGTCATACTATCTTAAGTTGAATTTGTACTCTGCATTTTCTTTTTCATCGGTCTTGTTAAATGTAATTGCTTAGAAGCTGTTTGTTTTTTTTTTTTTTTTGGTAATTTTGTTTTTGTTTGCTTAAATTTATTTGAGTATTGAGTATTTCGGCTATAAGACAGTGATAGTGTTTTGGTAAGAATATAGACAATTAGTTTGTGTTTTTTGCCCAAGGGCATCCGCATTCACTCTCAAAAGGGATAAGATTTGTGTAAAATTCTGTTCCTCTATATATCCTTCATTCCATTTGTTGTAAATAATAGTTTAGAATAGTAGTATAGAAGTCCCACATCATGTATATCTCTTTGTATTTTCTTTCTTTTGAGTTATATAATAGACTCTCCGCTGTGTAGTTAAGACACACGGATTACTTATAAATCTTTTTGTTCTTGATATTCAACATGGTATCAGAGCTCGCCGCCCCCCACTTTCTCTTGTGGCGTTTCTTAGCACAGGTAGGCTGGGCCTGTTGCATTGTCCACTCTTCAAGCCCTATGGGCTATTGTGTGAGGGGGCGTGTTGAGATATATAGTCCCACATTGGTTGTATGTCCCAAGGTTCTTTACATGGTATCTAGAGCCTAACAAGATCCGCATCTTTCCGGTAGACCCACTGTCTACCGAGTAAAAATCTTTCCGGAAACTGTCACAATCGTTAGTTTCCAGCCACCGTCTGCCACCACCGTCCTCCACCGGAAAAATTTTTCGGCGCCCGTTTTGATCAAAAAGTACATCAACGGACTCAGAAGAAGCCGATCTATCCAACGCAGTAAGACCCACCGTCATCAGAGGTTGCCAACGTCGTGGACCACCATTTGACCGCCGTTGACCGCCACCACCGATCACCTTTTAGGCACTTTTTCCGGCGAGCCACCCACAGTTGTGATCGTCACAAAGAGGCGGTTCTTTCCGTCCAAGGCCCGCTCCTAAATTCCCACTGAAGCATTTCTCCTCTTTCCATTACTGTTTACGACATCTTTGTTTCAGCGAATTGTTCTTGATCCATGGCTGATTCTAGCTCATTTATCCTTCCTCAAGATATTTCTCGGCTCACGATCACTGGTTCCACTGCTACTGTTGTGCATACAGGTAATAGCGTTGCTGGTTTCACTCAAAGTTCATCATTTAGTCATTGGGTTCTTGATTCTGGTGCCTCTGATCATATTTCTGGTAATAAATCTTTGTTTTCCTCTCTTTCTACCTCTGGTTATTTGCCTGTTGTCACTATGGCTAATGGTTCCCAGGTTCAGTCTCATGGGATTGGAACAGTACATATCTTTCCCTCCATTACTATTGATAATGTGCTCTATGTCCCTGGTTCACCCTTTAATCTCCTTTCCATTAGCCGTTTAATACGTTCTCTTGATTGTCTTATTTCTTTTTGTTAGAAATAGTATAAATTTATTATTATTAGAATAGTCTAGAATAGTCCAGATTGTGGGCTTGGCCCATTAGGTCATCCCATTAGGTTTTGTAGTCTCTATAAATAGAGAGCCTCCTTGTACAAATTACATACACTTGAATATACAATATATTTCAGATTCAATTTGGTATCAGAGCTCTCGATCTGAGGGCTCTGCTTTCGCATATATATCTTTTCTTTTCTTATTTACTGCCGTGCATCATACCGGCAAACCCTTTTACCGCCGTGCGTCATACCGGCAACCTTTTTCAACCCTCCGAACATTGTTAGACCCTTTTTCGATCTCAGATCGTCATCCTCGTTCATTATTTGACCGGAAAACACTGTTCACATCGCCCGAAACACTGTTCTGTCACTATTCAACACTGTTCCGACCACCTTTCCGGCGAGAAACCACGCGATCAGGATCCTCTCACGCCTGCGACCATTTCTGTCCAAGACCCGTCCCAAACGGCCGCCGCACGCGCCTCCACGCGCCACTAAAGCTGTCTGCGCGTGGGCCTCACGCGCCACCTCTCTCCGGCGCGTGTGCACTGTTTCGGCCACTTTTTCCGGCCAAACCAAGGCAGACAGGCTCGCCTCTGCCTCCTCCTTCCAGATCCGGTGCCCGTTCGTTGTGGGTCTCTTCCGTTCGAGGGGTTCCAGTGCAAAAGTCGCTACTTTTTCCTTTTTCGCGAGACTTTTACTGTTTTTTTGTTGTCTGATCGCTGTTCCTGATGGAAGGAACCAGTAAATATCCTTCCTGCATCATTTCAAGTGCTATTCCATCTATCACAACTCTGAAATTGACCGGATCTGCCACTTACTAGAACTGGTCTACCTCCGTTAAGATCTGGTTTACCGGTCAAGGCCATGACAAACATCTCACCACTAAGAAGACTAATATTTCCACAGATCAGATGACTGAATGGGAGAGAGTTGATGCTCAGTTCCTCAGTATTCTTTGGCAATCTATTGATTCATCCCTTCTCAATATTTTCATTCCCTTTGAGACCTGCTATGATGTGTGGACGGAAGCCAAAAACCTCTACACCAATGATATTCAGCAACTTTATTCCATTGTCTCCCAGATGATGGATTTGCGTAAATCACCCGAAGCTCGTATGGAAGTTTATGTTGGTAAGATTCGTTCTTTGATGCAGGAATTTTTGGCTATGTTACCTCATGCTGCGGATGCTACAGTATACAGGACACAAGTGGAGCGTCTCTTTACGGTTGTGACTCTCTCTGGTCTCCCTGACGGATTAGAAAGTGTTCGTGAGAACATTCTAACCAGTACTGAGATTCCTAGCATATCCCAGACCTTTCAGCGCCTTCTAAATCTTGAAGATAAGGTGGCCCCCGCACACGTGCCAGCTACTGACTCTACTGCTCTTTTGTCTGATTCTGCTGCTTTAGTCTCTCGTGGTAATTGGAACAATGGTGGACGCGGTCGTGGTCGTGGCCGCGGACAAGGCGGTCGCGGGCCCATGACATCATATGGCCCAGGCGGGCGCGGACAGACGATGTCGTATGGACAGGGTGGCCGAGGACAAAGGCCTCGGTGTAATTATTGCCAAAATCTAGGCCACATTGAAGAACGTTGCTACAGAAAGTACCCTCACTTGAAGCCACTACATATGAACTTTGCTCAAACAGATGTCGTGCCGCCCTCTACCGGATCAGTGACTATTTCCGCTGCAGACTATGAGGCCCTTCTCCAGAAGAATTCTTCTCAGCCACCTACTCCCGCTACTGGTAATCACGTTGCTTGTTTTTCTCAATCATCTCTTGGACCCTGGGTAATAGACTCAGGTGCTACTGATCATCTTTGTGGTAATAAGGATCTTTTTACTTCCCTTACCTTTTCTAATAATCTTCCCTCTGTTACTTTTGCTGATGGCACCAAGGCTCCTGCTCGTGGTATTGGGCAAGCCAAACCAACTCCCTTCTTGACTTTAACCTCTGTTTATTACATCCCTGGCATTCCCTTTAATTTAATTTCTGTTAGTCAATTGACCCATTCTCTTTCTTGCTCTATCACCTTTTCTAAACAGTCTTTTTCTATGCAGGATCCGGGTACGGGGAAGACGATTGGAGCGGGCGATGAGTCACGAGGTCTCTACTATCTGCATGCACCCTCTGCTCCAGTTGCATGCTCTCTCACAGCGTCTCCTGAGCTTCTCCATAGCCATCTGGGTCATCCATGTCTCTCGAAGCTTCAGCATATGGTTCCTTTTTTGTCGGGTCTAAAGTCTTTGAATTGTCAGTCTTGTCAGCTGGGAAAGCATACTCGCTCTTCCTTTTCTAGTAGAGTCAACAAAAGAACTGCTGCTCCCTTTTCTATTGTTCATTCTGATATTTGGGGTCCGAGTCGGACTATGTCAGTTTTGGGTTTTCAGTATTTTGTAACCTTTATTGATGATTTCTCCCGTTGCACTTGGGTTTTTTTAATGAAAAATCGTTATGAGTTATTTTCAATTTATCAAAAGTTTTGTGCAGAAATAAAAACTCAATTTGGTGCTTCTATTCAAATCTTGCGCAGTGATAATGCAAAAGAGTATGTGTCTCTTGAATTTTCTAAATTTCTGGATACACATGGGACGATACACCAGACTACCTGTCCCCACACTCCACAACAAAATGGAGTTGCTGAACGTAAAAATAGACATCTAGTTGAAACTGCACGTACCCTTCTTATTCATATGAACGTCCCACTCCGTTTTTGGGCAGATGCTATTATCACCTCATGTTTCCTTATCAATCGCATGCCCTCTTCTGTGCTAAATAATGATGTTCCCCACCGCATTTTGTTTTCAGGAACACCTTCTTATCCTCTGCCTTTACATATTTTTGGCTGTACTTGTTTTGTTCATGATCTTACTCCAGGTAAAGACAAGTTGACATCCAAGGACTTCAAATGTATTTTCCTTGGGTATACACGTTTTCAAAAAGGGTATCGTTGTTATTCTCCTGATCTCAAGCGTTATATCGTTTCTGCTGATGTCACTTTCCTTGATCAGCAGCCTTTTCACTCTACTTCGTCTCCAGTGTCACAGGTTGATCAGGTCCTTCCTGTTCCTTTTCTTGACTTGTCTTTACCAGCTGCAGGTGACCCTATTCCAGAGGAGCAACCCATTAACTCCATACCTGCAGATCGTCCTCTCCTCACATACCAGCGTCGTCAGCCTGCGCCTCCTCCGACTTTGCCTCTTGATGACTCATCGTCCTTTCCCGTCGGCTCTTCTCCTCCGGATCCTCCATCAGAGACTCCTCCCATTGCCCTTCGGAAAGGTATTCGATTCACTCGAAATCCTCATCCCCTTTATTCTTTCTTGAGTTATGACAGACTTTCTTCACAACATTTTACTTTTGTTTCTAGTCTATCTTCTGTTTCCATCCCTAAAACCACAGGTGAAGCACTATCTCATCCAGGGTGGCGCCAGGCGATGCTTGATGAAATGCAGGCACTTCACTCCAATGGC